CCCCCCACCGTGACCTACCGATTTCGTGTGTTCTTGCTTGAGCAGATGGAGAAGCAAGAGTGAATGGAACTTGGAAAAGCATAGATGCATGCACAACGCTGCAGTTTCAGAGCAGGTGTTGCCAGATTTTTTGGTGTGGTTGATGCAGCTCCCCTCTTTCAGTATACAAAAATGAGCTGCCGGGATCTCTGGAAAGCAGATACGAGATGTGATGATACCAAGAAGGCTGTGCGAGTATAGACGAGTGTAGACTCAGACAGTATTTGACAGAACAATCGGCTACTTGATTGCCAAGAGATCCTTCATGTACCAGGCCACCAGCTCCCCTGTACAAAGCCACAGATCGTCCTTCCTGTGCCAGTACTCATACTGTGCACTTCGGATCTGGGCAGCAAGCATGGTAGACCCAGTCTTTGCAGCTTGGTTTCGGCGCAAGCGATCCTTTATGAACCGCCACGCGCGGTCTACGATCTGCGTGCCGGCCTTTGTCTTCAATTTGCGGCCTCCTGGAAGTTTGTGTGTGGTCGTGCGGACATAGGTAGGGGGCTTCCAAACCCACTTCCCGTTGAGCTTCACTCGCTTCTTCTTGTGCACGACGGAATCATGCACCATGCCCGGCACTTTCATTTTGTATGAGCGAGCGGAGTCCGAATGAAGGACGACTGACCGGTTTTTCAACCACTTGGTAGCTAGTGGCTTCCAGTCCGTCTTCCGCATGGCTCCCGGGCCTGGTGCTCGAGGAACAGTGATAGCAGGGTTGAGTCTGGCCAGCACCAAGGTTTTTGGATCACCTCGCTGTACCAGCCCCCCCCACTGCTCCCACTGCACCTTCTTGCCTTTGCTGGCGTCCGCTTCGGAGATCTGCCCCGCCTCCAGGGTTTTTTTGTCAAAGGTCGCCTCGTCGACCTCGACGTCTTTCCAGGACCTGGTAGATCCTCCGAAGCGGATAGACTTCTCAGTCTCGTGAACATAGCCCTTCCGTAAGTAGAGCAAATTCTTGTTGAGTTTCTCCAGTGCTTTGTGGTTCACGTTCGTCAGGAGGTGAATATCGGCAAGGGGCACATTGACAAGGCGAAGGAGGAGTGCTGCAGCTTGCTTCTGCAGTGAAACCCCTTGCTGTCCCATGGTCTGAGTGAACAGAGGATGCAGTTGCAAAGGCGAGACGTAGCACTGGCAGTTCTTGCGATTGCAGCGATGAGCGAAGTATTCTGAGTTTGGACGGGTAATGAGGCCACCCAGCTTGCCGACATTGCAACGTGGACAAGTAGCCTCCGACCAATCACCGATCAGCTTGTCCTTTCTGAGCATGTCCAAGATGCCCCGGTCAGTGGCAGTGAGGATTTCCTGCAAGGTGCGGTGCCACTTAGTCTGATCTTTCCGAAGATGAAGAGGGCCTTGAACATGCCGCTGATAAGGGACCTTGTTCCAAGCAGAAGTTTTGACAGAGGCCGGGCGCTTGGCGATCATGCGTTGGACACCACGCTTGGGTGCTGGAAACGGTTTGAAACTCTTTCCCATTCCGGAAGAGTCTCGCACGAAAAGACTACTTTGATGTAGAACAAATGCTGCAAACAGAACGTGTCAAACTGGCTACTTCGGAACACAGCTACTTGACATGTTACAGGGCCAAGGCAGAAGCAGTGTGATGAAAGCGTTGTTGACAGAATTTCGGGCAGATGCAGACGTTGCTTGCGGCACATCTTTTGGCACGACTCTTCCTGTTTATCGCAGAGACGGAGCATCATGGCATCAGAACTTCCCACACGGCACTACCACGGTGTGTTTCGAATGATCTTCAGTTCTACGCCGTATATTTATGTACTAAGCCGCTAAACCATATTTTCCCTACCCGAATGAGCTTGAAACTGCAAAAACCACAGGTGGTCCATACAGTAAGCCTTTAAGCTACCGCACGTAGTGTAACAACGGAAACACACCAAAATACTGTGCATCATTTCTTGTTATTCTATGGTTACCGGGCTTAAGTTTTGTCGTATAATCAGGATCTGTCTGTATCTAGAAATGAAAGCATTTCGTGCACAGTCGTGTGTTTGCACAGGCTACGCTAGACAGAGACCAGGCAAATCAGATGAGTTCAGTCATGCTCTTGCTCAATGAGGGTTTCCAAGTCGTTTTCAAGGTCGTCCATGCCGGCAACATCCATCTGGTGACTATCGCTAGATTTGGGAGATGATTTCGGAGAAGCAGCCATGGCTTTTGCAGATGGTGCTGCTGAAGATCGCCCT